AAACCCCTTTCTTATCTGTGTCTTTTATCACAGCAGGAGTCTGAAACAATGAAAGTAGATAGGGTTCCATGTGTGCAGCTAAAATTAGGAGGTTATACAGTACTGAACACAAGAGGGCATAAGGATGGATTTTGGGGCTCAGGATGTAGCTCTGTATTGGAGAGTTTGCCTAGCATGCACATGACCCTGAGTTCAATCCCCAACACCATCAAAACTATTGTGTTGACAGTGCTACACGGATAGTGTGACATGAAGTGGGATGGAACAAAATGATTATCTGCTGAACAATTAGTCACACATTTTCCTCCTTTGAAACTGGGCCAGTTGCAGCTCAGATTGGAACACAGAGTAAAAGCTTAGGGGAATTTGTATGTGAAAACTTCAGAAGCAATTATGAGGCAAGATAAACACCTTTCCTGAACTGTTAACAGGTGTCCTGGGCCCAACATTGTGTCTGATTTAGGACCTAATCTTTGTTTACCTAGAACTCCTTTGGTTGCAAATGCAGAAGGAAAAACATAGAGTATCTTAGCATATTCTTTCTTGACCCACGAAAGACCTTAAGGAACCATACTCATTGTAATAACGTAGGGGTGGCTTGTAGAAAGCAGTGACAGGAACAGATCATAAAAGGGACTTCAGACCTTTGGGCTCCTGAAGTCTTTCTAGTCTTCTAAAAGGGTATTTGTCACTTTTTTCTATGAAGAAAGAAGTCTACCACCTTCAGCCCATAGACTGACTGCCTTGCTCTGCAGGGCCAAGGTTGAATTGGCCTATCATCCACATACCTGGGAGGGAGAAGCCACTTAGGTCAGTGGGCCCCAGCATCCATTCAAGTGTGAGACTGCAAGTGAAGGTTTCAGCAAACCAACAGGATGGCAAGGCGTCTGCTCATGAAGGTAGTGGAAGGAGATGGAGACAGTTTTGGGGAAGGAGAAGCAGTTCTAAGCTGACTCACACAGCATGGTGGTAGTTTAAGAATGGAGAGGCTTCTAGTTCTTATTGACTTCTTTTTATAAACTTTAAATTTTAGATAGAGTCACAGAAACTAACAAAATATAATACCAAGGAAGCTTGTTTATCTTTCATGCAGTTTGTCCCAATGATTACATTTTATCTAACTATAGTCAGTATAATTCTATACCATTTTGTCACATGTCATATTATATAGACTTGTGTAGTCATCACTATACTCAACATGCTGGAGTCACAACTACCTCCTATCCTCTAACATTCATAACCCCTAGAAAAAAGGTCTCTAATTTTCCATTCCTATAATTTTGTCGTTTCAAGAATGCTAGAAAAATGGAATGGTGTAGCATATGACCTTTGGGATTTGACTTTTTCCCCTCAGCATACATTTATCACATAGTACAAAAAAATCACAGTCCAGGACATTTATCCCAGAGAAAAAAATCTTTTATCCCTTAACATCTGTCCCAGGAGATCTATGTATATATCATCCAAAACTGTGACTACCATATATTGGTATATATGGATATACCATTTTGTTTAGACATTCTCCTATTAAGCAATATTTTGGTTGTGGTTAGTTGTTAAAGATATATGGATTTTAGACATAGATCTGGGGAGTTCCAGCCTACAATCCAATGGCCAGAGAGTCTGGGAAACAGAAACTTCATTTAGTGGCTGATCGAAGAAGAGGCAGACTCCCTTGGTTAAGTACTGAGCTGAACTCAAGAAAGCCAGTAACAGAGAGGGAGGACTGATGATCAAAGGGATTAAGACTGGGCTGGTTTAACCCCCAGAAACAGCTGACCAGACAAAGGTTAACTCTTGAATCCCAGGCATCAGCCTGGGAACCCAGCATGGGACTGATCAAGACCCCCTGAATCTGGGTGTCAGTGAAGAGGCCTAGGTAATCTATTGAGCCTTGGGCAGCAGATCAGTACCCATCCCAAGTATACACACGGACTTTGGACTCCCATAGAACAATGTGAGGTGCACTCTCACCCTGAACTCTAGGGGAAGGGTCTAGGCCCTGCCCTATATGAAATGACAGACTATGGACACCCCCATTGAGGGCCTCACCCTCCCTGGGGGAATGAGGGGATAACAGGGGGGGGGTGGTTGGGGGGAGGGCACGGGAGGAGGGGAGGGAAAGGGAGAGGGACCTGGAACTGACTTGTGAAGCAACCTTGTTTCTTATCTAAATTTAAACTGGAAAATAAAATAAAAAAAAAAATGATTGAAAAAAAAAAAGATCACAAATAAAGTTGCTTTCTTTGGGTTAAGCATCCTGAGCTGTGATTCTTGGATTCTTGGCTAAGTATATGTGTAGTTTGAAAAGAAACTACTAAGTTATCTTCTAGAATGGAGGTACCACATTACATTTCCACCAGCAATGTATGAGACATTGAATTTCTCCATGTTTTTGCAAGCATTTGGTGCTGTTCTTTTTTAATTTTAGTGGGTACGTAGCTCTGTGTCATTGTGATCTTAGTTTGTATTTCTCTAAAGGCTAGTGATGTTAAAAGCATTTCTTTTGTGTATCTGGCACTGCATACCCTCTGTGGTGAGAAATCTCTTCCTATCCTTTGCTGATTTTCTAAACTGATGCATTTGAGTTATTTTTTTGTGGGAAATAAGGGTTCATGTTGACTCAGAGTTTGAAGAGCTACAATATAACATGGCAGGGAGGCATGGCAGCAAGTGTGTAAAGCTGCTGCTGATGTTAACATTGGTAGATATGCAGTCACGAAGCAGAGAGACAGCTAGTGCTCTGTTTTGAGAACTGTCTATGTTCTGAATAGAAACCCATTGTTAGATTTGTTGTTTTTGTAGATCTTGTCCCACTCTGAAACTTGTCCTCTTTACAGGACGTTGTGTTTTTCTGTTTCTCTTTATTTTTTTTGTTGTGCTCTTTTAGTTGTTGATATTCAGTGTAATCTTTGTACATATATTGAGTATTATCCTGGAACATTTATAGCCTTACCAGAAATGTTAGTAATTAATGTTTTTTCAACTAAAAAGATAGTCTTTAGTTTCTATACTTCAACAATAGCTCTGTGTTCCTACGGGAACGAAAGGGTGAGTTTTACTTTATCTCAATTTATTAAAAATCCAAAACTGAGATAAATTTCATTTCAAGGATCTGAGATAGTACTTGCTCAGAAGTAGATGCTGTTCAAGATGGTACCAAAATAGCAAGATCTGTAAATATGCCATTGAAACCAAATCTATGTCTGAATACCAAATATCTCAAAGTAAAATAAAGAGTCTTCTAGAATGCTGCTGCTTTTGGAAAAAGCACTAAAATTGGACAGAGGCACAGGTTTTCTCTAATAGACATTTAAATTTAAGTTTGTCATAAAGCAAAGGAATCCATCATGTATCTAAATCCAAGCATTCTCATGTTACGTATATTAGTTATATTGGTTTTGTTTTGAAAATGGTACTTTGTAGTATTGGTTTACTTTTATTGTATTCTTGCATACATTATTCAGTAAAGAGGTTATGAATTAAAATTTACTCTTATATGTTGAGCCTAGATAACTCTATCTCACTCTCTCTTCTACACACACACACACAACACTAGGATAAAAAGGACATTTTTGAAGAGGATGTTACCTAGTGGGAGAGGAAGCAGGACAGGATAGGATATTGAATAGTGAATATTGGCCAAAATGCATGATGTATTGAATGAAAAGGTCATTATGAAACCTTTTACTTTGCACAATAAGTACACTCTAATGAAATTATTTTTTAAAAAGTAGGGGAGATGGCCTAGAAGGTAGAGCACTTGTCTTTACCCAAGTTTGAATTCTAGAATTACAACTGTAAATACAATCTCTGTTTTCTAAAACAAGCAGACTTTTGAAGCTTCTTTCTTGCTTCTATATGGCTGAAACAACTGACCTTAAACCTTACTGCAGAAGGGACTATGTATTCTACAGATTAGCAGGGTGGCTAGCATAGTATGTCCCTTCAGGAAATAGTCATCATATGTGTGTGGTAGATCTGGATTAGGACCCATTTCCCAGTGATTGAAAATAGGGTTGCTTTTCTAGGAGAGTATGAATCACATTTTTATTGTGTTTTTTTTTTGCCATGGGAATAAGAGTTTGTAAGTTATACTTATGGTGACCACATTGATTTATCATTCCCACCACGGAGAGTTTTACAAGATTAAGAGGGTACGAAGAAGACTTATGGCCAAACAGTGTAAGTGGAGACTTTAATAGACCCAAGTGCAACACATGATCTCCCTAGTTACACATGATCTCCCTAATTACACATGATTGCCATAATTACACATGATCTCCCCAGTTACACATGATCTCTCTAGTTATACATGATGGCCCTAGTTACACCTGTTCTTTGAATTTAATATTGACTTAGCTAAGGTATATTGGTACAAAATCATTCTCCATTTTCCTCAAGTGCCTCAGATTTATTCTGGTACATATTAAAATTCACATTCTTTCTCTCTACCTGTCCCCCTCTCCGTCCCTTCTCTCCCTTCTTTTCTTTCTTCCCTTCCCTCCCCCTCTCCTTACCCCTTCCCTTATAAAGAAATAAATAATTAGGCAGTTTTGCTAAATTAATATAGAAATCTTTCTTAAGAGAATATTCTGTTCTTTTCCACCAGTCTTGTCCACTGAAGTAGATTCCACTAATGTTTCCACAAAAGGTCCATTCAGCTAATAGGACTTATCAGAAAAAAATGCTTATTAAAATGTCTTGGAATAACTGGGACACAAATATTTGAAAAGGCCCAATTCACAGCCTTTATTCAAGTTGTAAAACGGGGAGTAGCTTCAGGTATAAATAATTCATCCTGATAAATTTGTTTCATTTTGGTGTGGGCATGCCTGCCTGCTGGTTTACTGGCCTGGGAATATGAGATGTTATTTTTTGGGCCCTGTAATGTTAACCTTTGTCAGTTTGGCACCTCTCTCTCATGCGTCTGAGTTCTGACTTGCAAGGAAGGGTCCAGACTTCTGTCTTTTCATCGAAATGTTTGTACTATTTTACAGGCAGTCTTCCAAACAGAAGAAGGCAATTCAGACTGCCATCCGCAAAAATAAAGAGGCCAATGCAGTGCTGGCCCGCTTGAACAGTGAACTTCAGCAGCAGCTGAAGGTAAGGAGTGGTCCCCACATTTGGATTCCCTCACTTACCCTGGTTTTGTGTGTTGATCATCAGTTCTTCATTCTTTTTGGTAAGTCCCACCTTTGTTCTCAAAGGTCTTCTAGTTGGTGGAGAATTTAAGTTTCAAGGGTTGGTTTTTGAATGCTTAGACTAAGAATAGTAACTTCAATGTGGAGACTGTATCATGTAGGAAACAAAGCCACTTACAAACTGTTTTCTTTGTTGTCCAAATCTTCTGAGTAAGATCATAATTTTTTAGATTGTCTAGGAATGATGCTACACTTTTGTGGAAGTAGGCAGCCTGGGTTAACCCTTTTTCTAGTACCTCTGAAACGATTCCATTTCACTTTCTCAAGGACATTAGCCCTGTTTTTCTCACTTGTTTCTCTCTGTCATTTCTCTTCTGCATCAGTTTCTCAAGTTGCTCTAACCATTTACCCCAAATGCGGTGACTTAATACAATAGTACTTTATTCCTCGTGGCTCTGGAGTTTGAAATCAAGGTGCCATCAAAGCTATGCTGTCTTTGAAGGCTTTAGAGATGACTCCCTTTTTACTACTTCCCAACTCCAGTGGTTTCTGGCAATCCTTGCCATTCCTTGACCTGTACATAAAAAGTTTCAATCTCTGTCTCTATTGTCACGTGGTATTCTTCTGGTATCTTGCCTGTTACATGTATATATTGTACCTTTATGATTAAGGGCATCGGTCACTGGAATTAGGGCCCAACCTATCCTAGCATGTTGTCAGCCTCACATGATTCTGTTTGTTTGTAAAATCATGTTTACAGATCCTGGGAGTTAAGACTTGAGCATGCTTTGGTGGGACATGATTTTACTGGGTCATTCTCAACCCATACATAAACAACTCCAGCATTGTTAGTTCCCCTTGGGTAATTACTGCTCCATTTCCATGGTGTCCTTCATGTTCATTTTCTTAGAAATTCTTCTCATGCACTGTTTTTACTTTTCACCTTTCTCTCTCTCTCCCACCTGAGTGTGGTCTTACTGACTTCCCACATACCTCTTATGGCCAAATTCAGTGGACTTCAGTTTGTTTAATTAATTAATTAATCAATCAAGGTTGTAGAAGAATCTACATTAATGACCATCCTTTCCTCTAAAATTACTTTTAATTCTTTTAAAAGATAGGACCTTGATATGTAGCTGAAGCTGTTCTAGAACTCAAAATCCTCTTGCCTCAACCTCCCAAGTTCTGGGGTGGCAGGTCTGCACCACTGTGCGCATCTGGAAAGAGTGTTTGTGTTGAGATGCTATGCTTTTCTCTTTTGCCTTCTACTCCACGGGTGCTGCTTTAGCATTCTCTGTTCCCTTCCATCCCCGACTTCTCTTTTATGTACCTCCCATCTCTGCCAAGATATTTAATTCAGAACTTTTAAATACATAGAAAATTGGAAGAATTGTACAGTGAATATTTGTACAAGCACTGCTTCAATCCTGTTACTAAAATTTTATTTTTTAATTTTTTATTTATTATGTATATAGTATTGTGTCTACATGTATCCCTGCAGGTCAGAAGAGGGCACCAGATCTCATTACAGATGGTTGTGAGCCATCATGTGGTTGCTGGGAATTGAACTCAGGACCTCTGGAAGAACAGCCAGTGCTCTTAACCTCTGAGCCATCTCTCCAGCCCCTAAACTTTTATTATACTTGTTTTATTATGCATGTGTCAGTTTGTCTATCTCCTATTCACATTTATTTGATTTTTGACACATACTCAAATAAATTACAAACATCTTTATACATTCTCTAAATACTTCAGCATACATATTGTTATTTAGAATTTAAGTTTTTATTTGAGACAAGGTCTCTCTACATAGTCCCTTCTCTCCTGGAACTCGCTATGTATTCAGAACAGACTAGCCTCATAGAGTTCAATTTTTTTGCAGGTTTGTTTTATGATGTGAAATTTAACATATGCAAATCTTAACTGTGTATATGCTGATCTTGTAACAAATGTATATACTTATTGAAGGCAAACTCTGTGAATTTAGAGAACATTGCAATCACCATAAGAAACTTTCTCACTTTCCCTCCTATTTTAATTCTATCCCATCACACTGCGGCCGTCATTCTGATGAATTTATATCATAGTTTTGTCTGCTCTGTAACTGTATATGACGGTATCCTACAACAAATACTTTTGCATAAAGATTTTGAGATTCATTTATTTTTTTGTATGCATGAAGAATTAGCTCCTTTCATTGCTGCCTTATACCACACTGAATCAATATGGCATGATTTCATTATCAGGCCTCTTGATTAAAAACTTGAGCTGTTAACAGTTTTAGAACATTGTGAATAAAACTGTATCGTTGAACATGTTTCTTTACTAACATTTTTACTTACTCTGATAATTTCATGCAATGTGTTTTGATCATATTCACCCCTCTCATCCCCTCATATCTTTTTTTAATAACCCACTGAGTCAGATTTGTGCTGCACCTATATTTGTGGATATGGGGCCATTCACTGCAGCTAGATGGTCAACTGAAAAGGGACCACACCCCTAAAGAACTGGACTGTCCCTTGGGTAGCAACCATTGACTGCTGATAGTTCCCCTGCCTATGGGTGGGGCTTCTGGGCTCTCCCCATCCATGCTTGAATGTCTACTGATGTGCTCTTATGCAGGCAATCATAGCTTCTGTGAGTTCACAAGGGCAGTGGCCACGTCACGCTCAGGAAACACTATTTTGCCCCAGTCCTCTTTACAACGTGTGCCTCTTAGATTCTTGCTTCCTCTCCAAATATGTTTCATTACCCTTGCAGGGAGGGGTGATGTATATGTTCCACTTATGACAGAGCACTCCACAGAAACTTTGGACATGTTTTTGTGTGGAAATATATTCTCATTTGTCCTAGAAACATGATTAGTTGATAGTATGGTGTCTTGGTGAGTTTTCCATTGCTGTGAAGAGACAGAACTACCAAGGCAACTTATAAAAGAAAGCATTTACTTGTGTGGGCTTACTGGCAGTTTGAGAGGATGAGTTTGTGACCATCATGGTGGGGAGCATGGCAGCAGGCAGAAAGGCATGGCTCTGGAGCAGCAGCTGAGAGCCTACATCTTGTCGATAAGTTGCAGGTAGAGGGAGGGAGTGGGTCTAAATGGACTTTTGGGACTCAGAACTGTTCTCCCAGTGATACACCTCCTCCAACAGGTCACTCCCCTACTCCTTCCCAAACAGTTCTACCAACTGGAGACCCAAATATATGAGCTTATAGGGGGCTATTCCTATTCAAACTACCATAGTATGTAGAAGTAGCTGATTTTATTAGAAATTGTAGCACCTTTTTAAAAACTGTGGTTATAGCATTTTATGCTCTGCCCATTAATGTGTTAGAATTTTAAATCTTTGCCAACATTTGGTGCCGTTTTTGTTGATTTTAGCTTGGCCTGTGGTAAGGTAATTTTTTCCATCTCCTTGATGACTAATTATGTGATTTATTTTTTAATGTGACTATTAACCTTTAATATATCGTATGAAGTATATTTCCAGGTGTTTTCACCAGAGGAATTTTTTGTTAATTTTGTTATTTGCTCTTGAGACAAGATCTCCCCATGTAGTTCAGTCTGGGATTGAACTCAGGATCCTCCTATCTCAGCCTGATGAGTGTTGGGATTACATGTATGTGTACCTATATCTGACTTTTTTGGCCAGTTTTTAAATTGAGATTTTATCTACCCTGATTCCCTTTGAGCTGTGGGCAGATATCTTTTTTTTACATATTTTGATTGTTAGTAGTTTGTAAGATACGTTTGTCAGTATTTCTTTGTAGTGTTTATGTTTATATCACCTATTTATGTAATAACTATATACTTTTATGAGCAGATACTTCAAATTTTCATAGAATCCAAATTTGTCATTTTTTTCATAAGCTTACTACTTTCTATGTAAGGAAACAGTATATACATAGATTATAAAATGATTCTCACATATTTTTCTTCTAACAGCTTTATTGTTTCTTCTTTTACATTTTTAAATTAAGTTTGTATGGCCTGGAGAGATGGCTCAGAGGTTAAGAGCACTGACTGCTCTTCCAAAGGTCCTTAATTCAATTCCCAGCAACCACATGGTGGCTCACAACCATCTATAATGAGATCTGGTGTCCTCTTCTGGCCTGCATACATACATGCAGGCAGAATACTGTATGCATAATAAGTAAGTCTTTAAAAAACTTAAATTTGTACATGATGTGACATTGGAGTTAGGTTCATTTACCCCCATTTTTAGTATTTCCTTAATCCGGTACCATTTGATGAAAAGACTTTTCCTCCCTTGGATCACTTTGGTGCCATTATTAGAAATCTAATGAACTATAATTGTAGGATCAGTTCTGACTTCTTAGTCTCTCTGTGCATCCTTATGCTACTATCACAGTCTTGATTGCTGTTGCCTTATACTGTCTTGAAATGTGGTAAGATAAAAATTTCAGTGTGTTCATTTTTGTGATTCCATTGGATATTGTAAGCCTTTTGTCTCATGTAAATTTGAGGATTGGTAGGAAAATACCACAAAATAAAAAATTCGCATTGAATATATCAACCAGTTTAAGGAGAGCTGACATGTCATATTGATTTTGCTAATCTGAAAGTAGAGGAGGCCGGCCCTACAACCGTTCCTCTTCTGAGATTTGAGTATGCAAGTCTTGCATATCTTTTGACAAATTGTCCAAAATTTTTGTGACATTATTACAAATTGGATTTTAAAAATAATTTCATTGTTCAGTTGAATTTGTGAAGGTCCTAGGCTAGAGGATCAATGTACAAAATAATCAATCATATTCCTGCTTATAGATCATAAATAATTGGTAATGGAATTTTCTTAAAGTACCACTTCACAATAAGTGGCCTCCTCCCCAAAATGGAATACTTTGGTACAAATCTATCAAAACACACATAAGATTTGTATGCTGGAAACTAAAAACTGCTGCTGAGAGAAGTCCAGGGAGACCTAAAGGTGCAGATATGCTTTTTTTGTATTTTTGGAAGATTCAATAGAATAGAGTTGTCAGTTTCCTCCCCAGTGATCTTTAGATTCATGACAATACCAATTAAGATCCCAGCAGGAATTTTTTATGAATACAAACAAGCTGATCCAAAAATTTCTGTGTGAGGGCCGAGGCACTTGGAATTGCTAAACCAATGTGAATAGGAAGAGCAAATGAAGAAATCATTGTCAGGCTGCTGTAATTAAGACAGTGTGGTACTGAGCATGGCACATAGATCAGAATTGTGAAATAGAGCACACAAATAAAGCCATTTGATAAAAGACAACGATACAAAATCAACCCAACCAAAAGCTGGTATCCCAACAACATGTTTAACAGTTGGTCATATGTATGTAATAAATAGGGGGTTTTGATCTAAGTCTCACCCATTGTACAAAGATGAACTTAAAATTACATGGCTCACCCATGTAAATGGAAAACATAAAGCTATAAAACATTTAGTAGGAAACAAAGGAAAAAACCCTCATGATATGAAATTAGACATGGCTTTTGTATAAAGAAACAACTAAAAGCATAATCTATAAGAAAATAACTTAGTGTATTGGCCTTCATTAAAATTAAACACTGTTGTTCTGCCAAAGACACTAGAGAATTAAGAGACAAGTTATGGATTGGCAGGAAATATTTTCAAATTACAAATTTGACAGAGAACGTGTGCTCTGATTAAAAAATAACTTTTAAAACTTAAAAATAAGAGGTCTGGGGGAAAGCCTACAACTATTATTCTACTAAAGGAACATAGCAATAAAATGACTAATAATGACATGTTGCTATACCCATAGTTCGATGTCTCACTCAGCTCTCATGAGAGAAGCTTCTTGCAGCAGATGGGAGCGAACAGAGACCCACAACTAGACAGTGTACAGAAAGTGAGAGACTTTGGAGCACTCATTCTTAAATGGGATGTCTTCATCAAGCTTCTCCCCTCCATCGCTCAGGAATCTATGTAGAAGAGGAGGTGGGAAGATTCTAAGGGAGGTGGTGGATAACTCCAAGGAAATAGCATTTTCCAGATGTAACAAGACTGATGCACACATGAACTCACAGAGACTATGACAGCACACACAGGGCCTACATTCGTCCCAGCCAGACAAAAATACCAACGTGAAAAAGGGAAAGTGAACAAAACTCTGACCTCTAATTAAGAAGCTATTTGCAATTGATGCCTGCTGGGATAGTGAAAGTCAGCTTTCTCCAATGGAGCCTCACTGGGTAAATTGACCACACTCCAGGGAAGGCCCCATGCCCAGGAGTAGTTGCTAAACATAAAATTAATTGTGTGTGTGTGCCTTTTGTTTTGTTTTCGTGTTTTTGTCTTACTGATTTCCTTTCTTTCAGCTTGTTTGTCTCGTTTGACTTTCTTTTTTTGTTCTTTTTCCTATTTTCAGAGTGAGGAAGAAGATGAAGTTGGGTTGGTAGGGCAGTGGGAAGGATCTGGAATGAGTTGGGGAGTGTAAGTAATATAATCAGAATACATTGTATGAAAACAATTTAAATAAAACTTTATAAAGTAAAAGAACTCTAAAAACCAAACATCTCACTTTAAAAACTGTCAAAGGACTGGAAGAGCTATTTCACCAAGGAGTATATAAGGATAACATATATACACATGAGATGGTAGTCTACATCATTAGCCACTTGTAAAATTACAATTTAAGCTAGGATTACATACTACTATATACTTACAGCAGAAAATAACACCATCAGTGGAAGGCAACTGGAATCTCATGCATTTTTGGTAGGACTGCAAAATGGTACCCTCACCCTGGAAAGTCAGTAATCTTTTGAAGTGATATCTATTTTAATCTCATTTTTACTTAATTTTGAAATTTTATTTGGATTTATCCCCTCATCTCTCCTGTGTGTGTGTGTGTGTGTGCGCGCGCGCGCGTGCGTGCGTGCGTGTGCGTGTGCGTGTGCGTGTGTGTGTGTGTGTGTGTGTGTGTGTGTATCAACCTCACTCATTGTTCTTTTTGTTTCTTTTCAGTTATGTTTTATTGAGACACGATCTCAGGTATCTCAGGCTGACATCAGATTCACTAATGTATTCTAGGTTGGCCTTGAACACCTTTTAATTATACTTTCTTTACCTCTTAAGTGCTGGAGTTCCAGTCACAAGTCACTATGGGCTGTTTATGTGGTGCTGGGGCTGGAACCCTTTACGGCAAGCATTCTATCAAGCAGTCTCTATTCTTTTTGTATACCACATTCACAAAACTCCTTTGCTCCCTCTGAGCCTTTGAAGTTGTCCTTTAGTCACCCTGCATATCTTCACCCCATATGTTTTAAGTGCTGCCTTCAGCTTCATTCATGTCTCTGCTCAAGTTGCATCACCTCTAAGCAACCTTCCCTAGTTCAACTTTTTCTTGCTCTCCCTTCTGTTGCTCTCCAGCACATCATCTCATTTGTTTCCTCTTTGCTCATGTTATTATCTTGCTATCCATTTGCATAGAAGCCTATTAGGGCACTGGCCTGCTCTTTCTTGGGTTTTGCTGATACCATCATAGCCAGAGCAGCATGTGACCTAGAGCTGATAGAGAAGATGGTTGCTGGGAGTATGAATGAATGAATGCACATTGAGTTCTGTACATTAGTTTTCCAATGTATGTTGGCTTTCTGGAACATCTCAGAATTGAGCCTTTACATAAGAATTCTTTCTCACCTTGGCCAATTCTACTTAAGTGCCTTTGTGTATCCTTTTTCTCTTTCAAAAACCTGTTTTAAGACTGAAAGATTGTTGGGAGCAGGGGCTGTCCCTAACACTTTGACAGGCTTTGGGGAACCTATTCCTCATACTGGGTTGCCCTACCAATCCTTAATATGAGAGGAGGGGCCTAGTCCTACCTCAGTTTGATAGGCCATGTTTTGTTGACACCCATGGGAGGCCTGCCCCTTTCTGAATGGAGACAGAGGAGGGGTGGATCGCGTGGGTAGCCACAAGGTGTTGGGGGGATGGGAGGAGATGAGAGAGGGGAAACTTCAGTCAGGATGTCAAATAAATAAATCTAAAAAGACTTAGTTTGAATTTCCAAATAGCAGATTACTGTCCATCTCTTCTTCCTTTTACACAGAAATGACTTTAAGCTAGTTGTATTATGTGCATGAGCCTGGACGAGAGACTTTGGTGGAAGGATGACCAGTGTATCTTTTTATCTTTTATCCCTAGCTCAGGAAAGAAGCCAGAGATTGTAGTTAGAAATTTAGTTGAGGTGACTCACAGTTCTGTACTGGGAGTCTGCTTTTCCTTTTAGTTCTCCCTCATTGGCTTTTTACTATTTAATGTTATTCTCCGCTGCCCATCAAAAAAGAGTGAGACAAAGGCCGGGATGCAGAGAAAAGTTGGTCAGTTACATTTCATCATTTTCAGAAAGGCATTGATAGGTTAGTGATGTCTAATCACCAGCATTGAAAATGTTGCCTTCCAGGCCACATGTCCCTGAGGGTTTGTGGGTCCAGTTCTGAATCTCCTGTGACTGTATAAAGAAATAGAGATGAACCTAAGAAATGATACCTTTTCTTTTTCTTTCCCCTGTTTTGTATGTCTTAGGAGGTTCATCAGGAACGGATTGCATTAGAAAACCAATTGGAACAACTTCGTCCAGTCACAGTGTTGTGACATCCTCCAGGCTCGAGTGACAGTGGGTGACCTTGTCTGCCAAGATCTTTCTTTTGAGTTTTGAGCCTAACTACTTGTCATAGATGTCTGAATGTCAAAAGCTGTGATTTTCTCTTTTGCCCTTATCTTATATGTTTACAGTGGTTTCAACTGCTTATTGTACTTAAAATCTTAATCATCGGCTACTTGGGAGACTGAAGCAGGAAGGCCACAAGTTCAAGGCCATCTTGAGAAGCTTATTGAGACACCGCCTGAAATTAAAAAGTAAAAAGAGAGCTAGGGACATAGCTCAGTGGTAAAGTGCTTGCCTGATACGCAAGTTTAATCCTAAGTACCATTTAAAAACTATACTTATCAGCAGAAATTATCTCCCATTTTAACCACTTTTAAGTATTTCTCCTTATTAAAATTGGTCTTCTATCAGATAACTCAGAGCATTATTTACTTAAAGAATTTATAATTTTTACAGAACCTAATAATGAAGTACTACTAGGATACTTGTTTTATTCTTGTATGTATGTTACATACAGTAGGTTAGTTTTCTGAATAATGTGGATTCCAACTAAATAGTCTTAGGCTTGATGATAATAAAAACAAAAGTTGAAATACAATTCAAGGATCAGATTTACACTGGCACTGTGCCCCCTTCCACCATATGCCAAAAATTCTTCTCTAGTGTCATTTTGATATTATATCAGCTATAAAAATATGACTGTTGTTTTCTATTAAATATCAGAATTGGTCTTTACACCTCTATGCAGTAGAGATTTGGGCAATGAACTGTTCAACTTGGCCAATCTAGGCCATCAGCCTAGATAACTCAATCCTTTTCATGTAAATTTTTAGACAAGCACAATCTACTTTGTCTTGCCTGGTCAAATTAAATAGTTTCTAGATCACTACTTTTCTCCTGCATGGGATAACATCTCTGTAAATGCATGAGCTTAGAGACCACCTATCAAATATGAGTAGCTGGACTGCTACCTATTTGTTGTTGAATCTTGGTATCCAGGCTGAGAGGGAAAGGTAATGGCTACCAACTCTATGACAATTCCTGGTTGTTGTTGTCTTTATTTTGGTCTGGATTTCGAATGTGTTGGGTCTGAAGACATAATGAAAATATGTAATCTTCCCACTGGTTTTATGACTATTTGTTCTCTGTAAAGTGTGCCCTTGGGAAGTATTGGCTTTATACACAGTTCAGGGGATCTCAGCTAACTCTAGTGGAAGTGATATAAAGCAAGCCCAAATTGCAGAACCAGTATCCTGTCGAAATTTAGTAGTATAGCACAATTGAAAGTAGGAAATGACTGACCTTTAGGGCCACAGGGTCCTTGGTTCACCAATCCTCAACAGGGCATACCAGTGTTAGCATTACTTTGAGAGACTTACAGCATGGCATACTGTCTTTTGTGCATTTTGCCAACTTAGACATTCTTTGGATAGTGGGATGTGGTGTGCACAAGGTACTTTTTGAAATGCTTTTGGGTAGATTTATAATTTGTAAGATTAAGCTGTTGATTTCAGTAGATCTGAGAGGGTTTAGTAAAAATAGGCATTTATTTAATACTTCCCTGTTGCTTTGGCAAGCTTTATCAGTAGCTTAACAACAGAAGAGAAGGGTTCAAACAGATGATGTTTTTCCAAAGAAAAACAAATTGTTGAATCTCTTCCATGCATATTTAAGGATTTGAAACTGATTTGATTTGGAAAGTCATGAAACTTGAACTATTTCTGCATTTCCCTTTCTCTTTTGGCTGCCTTTTTTGCTGTTGTTCTTGTGGTGAGGGCTTGGGAATGAATTTAACCCCTCCTAAGATTATGAATAGGTCAGTGCAAATTCCTAGGTAACTTCTTTTTCCCATATGCTGGAATGTGGAGGCTGTGACAAATTTTCAACAGTGTTCTGAATGCAGATGTTTCACAGCATGTTTGGTCTTTGGTAATTTCAATACAGAAAAGACTAACATATGCACTTTATCTCAAAATCTTCCAGTGCATATGCCCTCACTTGGGATAGCATTTCATGTCTATCCATGAGACACAATCTAAGGAATGTTAGTCTATACTGTGCATTTAAAAACACTGACTTGCTGTTTCCCTATGCAATAAATGGCACAGGGAACTGGGAGAAGAGATTGGAATTTTATTTAGTTGACTTTGTTTTCCTTAAAGGATAAAACTTGTATTGGACAATCAAGGCCCTCAGAGTTTCACAGCCTCACCAGTATATTTCTTATGCTGGGGATCAAACCCAGGACATCATTAATTCTAGGCAAATTCTGGGTCACACCCACAGCCCATCACCAATATTTTCATTTAGGCAGTGTATTAAAGCACCCACCAATAACACACACACACACACACACACACACACACACACACACACAGCACAAGCACACAGAGTATTCTTAGCTGGACTTAATTTTGATCCGTTTATTAGTTGCTTAGAATTATATTTTTAAAAGGAAACATTTGTGTTTCTATCTAAATACATATAATTATATGACTAGTATTCATCCTTTATTTCTGTGTTTTCTTAGAATGTGCACTTTTAGGGTTACAATACCTGATACTGTTTTTCAGAGTCTTTAATATGATATAGGAAGGCAAGCACATTGAAATCACCTATAAAACTGCTCTAGAGTTAATCACTGTCTTTTGCAAAAGAAGCTTCTCTGATGAGGGATGAGAAGTACAGATTTGCTAGTTGGGCAGAACTGTACAGAATGAAGGTTAACATGTCTCCATTGATGGGGGTTTAAATGCCTTGTGGCTCAATGGTCTTACTGCATGGGGATCCTCCAGTTCTACAGATGAAAGCACAGTAGGAACTGATCATGGGCATATTGGGGTCTTTAGCATCTCTTGCAAGTGGCATATAGCATATGGCCAATTTCAATCCATAGACCTAAAGCAAAACCCAAATGGTAACTAGCAAAAATGGATGTAATGTGATAATCAAGACAGATATTTGCTCTAGTTGGAAAGATCTAAGCACTTTGTAAGTATCAGACAACTGTTTGGTACTAATTGAGAAAGGAGTCAGCTGTGCCCATGTGAACATTAGAGCTAGGCAGGGCCAGTGTTTCTCTCCTATCGCTAGCATGGGAAATTATAACCCTAAGAACTGGGAGCTCTTGGCCAAGGAAGCCACAGAAATAGATAGCTTGTGGTAGAGTTGGGATGCTAGCCTGATTTTATAGATTCCAACCTAGTTCTCTGTCAATCTTAAAAATAGAGTAGAAAGCCTGTTCTATTTATCATGTTGAATTTTATTGCCTTAACTGGTCTTTAAGTATGAAAGCATCTTCTAAGGAGCTTTAGGTCTAGACATTTCTCTCAAATTTAAGTAAAAACATAAAATTTGAGGGAAATAATATTACTAAACCATTCTAATGCCTCAACTTTGATGATGCAGTATGTTACTTTAAATCTTGGCAGAACTTTCGACAGCTATTGCTTTGAATAGATTCCAGTCCAATAATCCTGTGGGCATTTGCTTTCTCAAATATACTACTGTGATAAAAAGTGAACTCAATATGTAGTAGCTTGTAGTTTCTCCAGTATATCTTTGACTGCTTGGGTCACAAATATTATATTTTAGCACATTTTAGGGATAAGTAATCAAAACACATGAACTTTTCTTTTGACTTCCTACCAGTGTTGGGACTATTGTAAAATATTTTTTCTTTAGCTGTGGTTTAGTTGTATAGTATTTCTAGACGTTTGTCTGTGTCCCGAATGGTCTCATAACTGTGGATATAATAGCTACATAATTATAATATCACTTACACAGTGTCTGGAATTGATGTGATGCTTGCAAATGTCTTTTTCTAAGCAGTAGTAAGAGAGAGCTCAATTATAGTATTAACACCTTAAAACTAAAACATTTGTTCAACACAAACTACAGTCACACTTCTGACTAGATATCATCAAGGCAGTGAGGTTTTACAAATGTAAAAACAATTTGCCATCCCAGCACAAGCAGATTGCCCCATGTGACTGACAAGGAGGCTCATTGGGTTGTGGTTTGAACACTGGGTGTAAAGAAAAAGAAGTAGTGGCTAAAGAAATCTCTCCCTCTCACTAAATACAACACGAGTGACTCTCTTTTCTCTTTCCAGCTGATTAATTCTATTTCAAGTGCTCCCTTAAAACTCAGACTTCAACAGATCAGTTGACTTTCCACTCTAGTTATGGGTGTTATAGCTTTTTTGTGTCATGACTCAGTGTGATTCAAGTTCCTAGTAAGAAGTGATCTGGATGTGTGCAATTCTCAGCCTGCACGTTTTGCTTCTCTTTCAGCATGGGCTGATGGAGACAGCCCACTAACACAGACTGGTCACTGTGATGGCAATTTGAATAAATGTTACTGTGGGCCATTCTGCTTTGCTTTTTTGTGAAGAGAAATACATCTGATTATATGAACCTCTCAAGAATAGCAGACAAGGAGGAACAAACTTTAAAGAGAGCATGCAGATTCTGAGAGCGCCTGCCCAAACCCAAACAGGCTTTAAGAAGAAGTCTTATACATATGCTTGAAGCAACCACTATTTGCTAATAAGCTGGACATCCCAGGTATAGTTAGTTCTAGGCTTGTAGGATTATTTCCTGCTTTGACTAAACACACATGTGGTAAAGGGCACATGGAAAACACTGCATGTTGCAGTTGTTGGTACCCAACTCTGTCTGCAGAAGTCTAGCCTTGCTGGCAACTATTGGAGATGGCTTAGTTTTCATGTTATGTGATTCTTCCTATTTTGCTCCTACCTAATGTCATGGCTGTGGGAAGCTAGCAACACTAGGTTTATGACTCTGAAGACCAGAGGACAACAGGTTTTATGAGGGCTTAAATTGGGATTCGAGGACTACAGTAAGGAAACACTCAGGTACCAGGTTCATAGCAGTCTGGGATGTTAGGACTAGATCCTAAAGTTCTTTCAGGGAGCTCTGTCATGAGACTGAACACAGTACCCATCATATGCCCTCTTTGATCAACTTTTTGTTTCAAGTCAACTTATATGACAGCTTCCTCTGCATCTATCTTGGGAAGAAGGGATACCCTCTTCTTTAGAACTAGAACTGCCATTCTTAGCACAAGTAAGGTATATAAGTGAGCCAGAGGCAAAAAGAGCCATTTTAGTCTTCATAGTTATCAGCTAAAAGAGATAATGAGCTGACTGTCTATTTTAACCTCGAAGGTAAAAATGCATATTATATTTTTTCACTACAGGTATATGTAACAGTAAAATGTGTAACAGCAAAGTATATATTTGATGCTTTCTGTCTTTTCATGATATTGTGCTAACATGTTGTGCTAACATTTAACTCAGCTAGAGTCTCATTCATTTGCTAAGCTTTGAGAACATTCTGTGTATTTACCTTAAACATAAATAAATCCCTGAGAGTGTCCTATATTTGGATTGTGATTTGAAGACTCATGCTAACTTTACTGCCTCTTTTTCACACTTGTTGAAAAATCTGGGAAGAACATAGTAAGTTAAGGGAAAATACACATGATGTGAAACTGGGGTGCTATGTTAAAAATAAATGCATTATAACTAAGTGGTTTCTATGGTGTTTTAGTGTCAGTATTTTGTGGTTTCCATTTGGTCTTGTGTGCACTGAAATTGGGCAACGTGAAAGGAGTGGGAGGTGCTTTCCATTGAAATTAAAGTTTGAGGTTTAGTTGTTTTACTTCTGATACTTTAACTATAGGTTCTTCAGTATTTGTAAACACTTAGTAGTCATGGGACATCAGGGCAGATGCAATGTGGACTTTAACGACCTACTGACTGGAAATTGGACTCATTGTGGGCCCAGATTACTTGCTTTACCTCTTTAGTGTTCTTTTAGTTTGTGAATATTCCTCACATGGGTATATTCCACCACTTTTGAGACTGAGGCAGGAGGATTACAAGTTATTGACCAGCCTGAGCTACATAGTGAGTTAAAGGTCAGAGTAAGCTATATAGTGAAACCATGTCTCAAAACCAAAACAATAAATAATAAACAATGACAACAAAGAGTGTTTCATCATGGTGTCCTTAGCTGGAAAGGGAATTGTTTTACTTTTCTTTTTGCTGTGATGAAATACCTTGACAAAAGCAATTTAAGAGAGAAAGGGCTTGTTCTGTCCCACAGTCCATCATGGCAGAGAAATCAGGGTGGCAGGAGCTTGGATGTTGCATCCAAAGATGAATGTATGCTGCTGTTTCCTTTCTCCATTCATTCAGTTAGGTGCCATCCTCAGCTGGAGGGCTCTGCCCATTGCAATTAATGTGATCAAGATCATTCCCCAGACATGCCCAGGTGATTCTAGATTTTGTCAAGTTAACAATGCTAACCATCACACGAGTGATGGAGAATAATGAGGAACAGTTGTCCCCACATCCTGACCAAATTCTCAGTTGTAACTTCTTACCTTTAAAAGTGTGTATAATTAGCCAGGCATTGGTGGCGCATGCCTTTAATCCCAGCACTTGGGAGGCAGAGGCAGGCGGCTCTCTGTGAGTTCGAGGCCAGCCTGGTCTACAAGAGCTAGTTCCAGGACAGCCCCCAAAGCAATACAGAGAAACCCTGTTTCGAAAAACTGAAAAAAAAGTGTGTAATTTTAGGAGACACAAGTCTATTGTTTGGATTTTCTGCTGTGTTATAGTGCCCATCTATAATTATTTGGGCATGTATTAAAGGCTTGATCCCAGGCCATTGGTACCATTTTGGGATATTCAGAGGACTTTAGGAAGAGGCTTGCTCTTGATGTCTTGTCTTAGGGTTTCTATTGCTGTGAAGAGACACCATGACCACCGGTAGCTATTATAAACGGAAGCATTAAATCGGGGCTGGCTTACAGGTCAGAGGTTTAGTTCATTATTGTCATGGCAGGAAGCATGGCAGCATGCAGGCAGACATGGGGCTGGAGAAGTAGCTGAGAGTCTTACATCTTGCAGGCAATAGGAAAATGGTCTAAAAGTCACACCGAGGGAAGCTTGGTCAAGAGACCTCAAAGCCCGCCCCACAGTGACACACTTCCTTCAACAATTCCACACCTGCTCCTAAGTCACACCTCCCAATAGTGTCAGTACTTATGAGCTTATGGGGACATTTTCATTCAAACCGCCACAGGGCTGTAACCTGTCTCCCTGTTTTCTGTTTGCCACAATGTGAGCTGTTTTATCACACCCTCCTTTCCATGAAACACTGAAATGTTTATAACTGTGAACCAACATGTAACTTTCTCTTGTTTATTTAAGGTCAATTTTGTCATAGCGATGAAAGTTCACCACACTGTCCATGAATTTGTTCTGTGTGCTGACCTGCCTTCTCTAGATCATTTGCTCTGCCTTTATTGTACAATCAAGTGCTGGCTCTCGAGCTAGCACTGAGACCAGAATGGCAAATCTGTTGTTCAAGAAGCTCAGAGATCAATAGGTTGGGGAACTATAGATGAGCAGAGTGCTAATATTCAGGAAGTGAGTTGTGATTCCCCCATTTTCTATTTTCTGCTCTCTATAAAGTACTTTATTCAAAAACTGCAAACTAGTGTTTCTAACAAAACCTATACCTGTTAGTTTGATTACATATATATCAGAGTCTAAGACACAAGAGAATAAACCTTTTCTAGGCAGAAACCCTATGTGAGGTTTGTTTTGTTCCATCCTCAACCCCTTTATTAAGGTGGTGGTATTAGGAGCCTGTTATGATTGAGGACTGTAGAGCTCTCTTTTTGTCACGAAGACTATCAATGTGAAGAAATAAAGTGTTGGGAAATGAAGCTGAAATATTGTTACTTTTGAATAAGAGTGCTTAGTGAGTTTATTTAACAATTTGAAGAAATCCCCAAACCTCTCCCAGAAAATGCTCTAATTAGAACATCTCCATGGTCCAAGAGGCTTGTCATAATGGCTTGCAACTGTGAGATGTTCTAGGAGTGGGGACAGTGGTATTTACAGGCATCTGAGGGATGCTTTCCTCATAGCATTTTCCTTTTAAACCCAGAAGGAAAGGCATTAAATTGTACCCCACACAGACCTTATTTCACTTTCCCTGAAGTTCTCTTAGCAGATTGGGTAGAAGGAATTGGCACAGAAACTGGAAACTTGAAGATTCAGCTGTGAGGATTCTGTGTCATCACCAGTAGAGATTATGAATTATATACACACACATGCAGAAACAGCCAGAGCAGTTGTTTACAGCATAGACCAGCAAGAATGTTTTGGAGAGAGGGGTATGTGATCATTGATGTTTGGAATCATGAAAGACTTCATGTGATAAGAACAGCTGGCTTTTAGTCTGTTTTATTGCTTTTAAGTTTTCTAAAGAGACTGTACCTCTTGTTCCTGTAACTTGGCCTGACTACTTCCATCTTTGATACAGCATTATAGAATAGACTACATGCCTTCACTCTTGTATTGAACTTAATCAAAACTACAAGGCTTAAGGAAAGCCAAGGGGAAGAAAGATAATGCTCATGGAATAAAAGAAAGCAAATAAATTAAATGCAGACACAGAGAACTGTGATGCAGATTCTTTGATATTCAAATGAGATCAGTTTGAACTTCAACCCATGTGTGTTGAGAGCATGTATTCTGGTCTCCCTGGAGTTTCTGAGATACAGGTGATGGTGGAGAGATTACTGCTTTGTCCTTGTTTCTTCTGGGTCTTAGTGGGATCCTAGAAATTAGTTTTATACATTGATTATCTACGATATATACACCAGGCATTCGTATGTATGTGGAGGACGAGGCAAAATAGAAGAGGCAGCATTTATAGAATATTTAGGATCATAAGAACTTTGAACACTGTACAACTCCAGTGGACATTTTTCATGTTTTAGTCTATATGAAAGACACCCCTTAGAGTTTGTAATGCACTGGACTTTGAAGGGCCTCTAGCCAGCATGAGCATGGCAAACAGGGCTCTGGCAGGCCTTGTCCTCCCCATCCCCTCTTCCTTGTGAAATACCTTAGGTTACATTCCTAAAGCTAACCACTAAAGTCTATTCCCTTATTTAGCTACTTCCTCCTCCTGAGGCTTACTACCAAGGTCCAGCTATCAAAGTATTGAAGTCCAGCAATCAGAAGTCCCCTTGGCTTACCTAACTAACCTGTCCAATCAAAATTAAAAACCTCACCCTAACACAGGATTTCTCCCTTCACCCTTATAAACTGCAATTTGCCTGTGGGCCACGTCTGTCTCCTCTCTATCCAGAGGCAGTCCTTTGTCCCTCTGAGACATTATCCCCTCTGTTCCTTTCTCCTTCTCCCTTGTCCTCTATCTCCTGTCTTTGTCTCTTATTCCCTACCCTTTGTCCCTCTGGGGCAAATAAATCTCCTTTGTGCTGAGACCTTGGTCTTGGGGGACTCTTATACTGACTTCAAGATCCCTATCTGTTTCCCCACACCTCATTCACTCTTCCCCTTACCAAACTGTACCCACTTCCCTTTCTGTAGATCTGCTGTTCTGACACTGCTGGCTAAGGGAAGGTGGGGAGGTGGGAACTCTGGTATCCTGTTTCTACGTGTAGTCTAATAGTTTGCAGCTGGATGTAATTCTGCTGCTGATGACCCCATGGACATTTGGCAGTGTCTGGAGATGGTTTTAACTGCCATAACCTAGGGATGCTACTGGCATAGTAGCATAGTGTATATAGTGTGGGGATTTGTTAAACTTCCTACAGTGTACAGGATATCCCACCCCCCAACAACAAAGAATGACTTGTCCCCAAATAACCAGCAGTGCTAAAGTTGAGAAATCCTGTTCCAAGGAGCCCATTGAGCTTCTCTGTATATGGAAGTTTCTGTCCCACCTGGTCCTGCAGCTGTTCAGTCCCAAATAAATACACAGAGGCTTATATTAATTATAAACCATTTGGCCAATGGCTCAGGCTTCTTTTTGGCTAGCTCCCTCCCTTAGTTGTTAACCCATTTATATTAATCTGTGTATCTCCATGTGGTCTTGGCTTAGTAGTGAAGTCCGGGTGTCTTTCTTCCTCAGCAGCTACATGGCGTCTCCCTGAAGACTCACTCTCTCTGTTTCTTTTCCCAGAATTCTCCTGGTCTGGTAGCCCCACCTATACTTCCTGCCTGCTACATCCTGCCTGTACATTGGTCGAAACGGCTTTATTCATCAACCAATAAGAGAAACATGTATTCACAGCATTCAGAAGGACATCCCCCATCACTTCTCTCCATTTCTCAATATTATTTAGAACAAATTATTCCCCTCCTCAGCACTGCCATGGGTACTTCCTCAAACAGACAAAATTACATTAAAAGGCTATGCTAAATTAGTTCATTAATTCAAATACAAAGGAATGAAATGAATTGGATAAGGTGAGAAGTGGCACTGGTTCATGTGTTTCAGTGTTAGGAAGCAACAGGAAATGATGGGGACAGTGGTGGTGCAGCTGTCTACTCTGTCTATAGACCGTACCAATGTTATTTATTGTCATACAGGTTGCCATGTCACTATGTTTCTGATTCTTGATGAGACTCAACATCTCATCTCCGTCATCCCTTAGCAAGTCCGTTTGTGTTAATTTACTTTTTTGATGAGTTATAACT